AGAATCTACGTGCATTGTTCCCTGTATTTGTATTTCCCCCTTTGCTCGATGGCTGGTCTATAATGAGCCCAAGCTCAGTTTTTAGTCTTCTGCACATTTTTTCTTTTGGCAATGTTCATTAAGTACTCCAAAAATCTGATATTAAGATGCAACACTGAACACCCAAACTGAAGAGCAGATGTGTCATATTTGTCTTCATTTGCTACTATTCTATCAGTATTGTTCATCTGTGATGTCTTTGTTTTGCAAACATTGCATGTCGCATTTCCAGTGTCAGTTATTGCACTTGTAACTTTTCCATCTACCATTGTCAAAATTACACGATGGGTTACTTTGAATTCTTTCCCTCCTACTTGAACTAGAGTGTCATTTAAACTTTGACTGGCCTCTCAGCTCCTTCGACCTATTCTTAATATAGGGATTTGTTTCCTTCGTAAACTCTAGTTCAAGTGGGTGGCAATGGACAGTGGATGATGCCTTTTGGTTCATCCACAAAATATTAACATTTTCTGATAACAAAGGCAGGGTCACAATGTAAATATAAAGAAAAAATTATTTTCATAGCAAAACAAATCATGTTAACATACCTGCTGATTCATTCGTTTGGTGAAGCACGAGTGGTACCAGAGCTGCCAGCACCATATCATGATCCGAAAAGCCTAGGTCATCTTTCCACATTTGGTTGTACATGGAATGATTTGATGATCCATCAAAACCGATTTTTTTCTTTTTTTTTTTATTTATTTGTAAAACTGCCAGGTCCAAGGGCAAGCTCTGTAGGGACGCTTACACAAATGAGTGATTTATTGGTGTTTACAATTTGATAATAAATAAGTAAAATTTAACAATAACAAGGTAGATAGAAACAATGATTTTTGACTAGTTATTAAGGAAGGCTTGAAAGAAGAAAGTCTTGCATCCATCTTTAAGTTTCGTATAGATTAAGATGTCAATTATTTCATTAGGCATATTATTATAGATCTGGATTGCCTGATACAGTACTTTGGGTTCCATAATGCGATGAGTTAATCTTTGGTATCTCAATCTTCTCTTTTATCCTTGTAGAATGGTCATGTCTCTGATGATTAAATCGAATATCAGAATTTAGTGTCTTCCTGCCACTTATGTGATTACACAGCATCAGTACTAATTTCGATTTGACTAAGGCTTCGAAGGGCATTATGCTTGACATCCAATAAATTTGCTTTACGTTCAGCATATTTTTGATTATTCCGTTCTGAAGAAATTGAACATTGTTAACATGATAAGCTAAACTCCATGTGAAGCACATGTATAAGGGATGAGAATGCA